GGCCCCCCCCCCCCCCCCAAATGCCAACTGGGTGCCGGCATCCCGGTGGCATCCGCTGCCCGGTACGGCCCGTTCCCGTCTCCATCCCCGCTGCTGCGCCGGGGCGGTGAGCTGCCTCTTGCCGGCCGAGCCTTCCCGCAACGTCCCGGTGCCGGGGAGCTGCAGCCCCGTTTTTGTTCTTTTTTAAAGGCATTTGTAGGCCTCGAGGAGGGGCTGACCGCTGGGAACGTGGAGGGGAGCGTAGCTGGTACGGTGCCGTGGAGACCTCCGCCGTTGCCCCTGGAGCCTAATGATAGCGCCGCCATCTCCCGCTGACCCTCTCGTGGCTGATCTCCCGAGCGCCTGCCCACCGCGGCTCCCTGCCTGCGCTGCCGACGCCTGAGACACGCGTGCCTGCGCCGCAGCCCTGCCCAGCCCGCACCGACTCGCCCCGCGCCCGGGGCCCGCTGCAAGGCAGGTGTCACAGTATGCTAAAGATGGGGAAACTGAGGCACGGTTTGGGGAGCGGCAGGGCCGGGTCGGGGGGACTCTGGGCCAGGCTGTGGGTGCAGAGCTGCTGCCAGGCCCTGCGTGTCAGGGAGGGAGAGGGTCCCATCCCTGCTCAGCACTGGGGGGTCCCCCTCCACCCTGCGTAGGACCCCCACGCAGGGGTCTGGGCACCCACCGGCCCCACGACTCCTGGAGTCTTGCTTTGAGGGGGTCACCAGGGGTTTGGGGAATCTCATGTTGGCTTAAGGGGGTGCCTCAGTTTCCCCAGGGACGATAATGATGATGATGATGATGGTGCCCTCCCTGCTCGAGCAGAGGTGTGTCCCCTCCATCACTGCCCTGGGGGGGGACATTTAACGCCCTCACTGGAGGGGACAGAGGAGGGGTTGTGGTGCTGGGGGGGGTTGCCTGCGTTCGGTGCTCCTCGTCCCAGCAGAGGCTGCGACAACCCACCGCTGCCAGACCCCGCCGCGCTGGGGCTGTGGGAGCAGCTGGGGGGGGGTCTGCGCCCCAGGGCGGAGCGGGACTGGGGGTGCCGGTGGGCCAGGCTGGCCCAAGGCTCCAGCAGCGGTTTCGGGGGACCGGGCTGTCCCCCTCCCGTCACCCTGCAGAAATCACCTCCCGCTCCCGGCTTTGCGCTATGAATTATTTGTGCGGCGGCGGTTCCCGGGTGTCTGCCCGAGCCAGCGAGGCCGCGTTGTGGCCAGCAGCCACCCCGGTGCCCGTGGGGTCCCCAGCCGGGACGAGGGGACAGTGCCAAAGCACCGTGTGTGCGTGCCGGGGCTCAGCACCGCAGTCACTGCCTCCTCACCGGTTTGAGACGTGTTTTCCCCACCGGGCTGGCTGCGCCAAATAGCCGGGGGGCAGTGGCAGAGCCACCAGTGGCAGCGGCTTTTGGGAGCCTCGACCGCTCAAAATCCTCATACCGGGGACAAATCCCGCAGCACCGGGCGGTGCGGCAGAGCGGCTTGGGCAGGATCAGGCCGGGTTGGGGACCGTGCCGTGAGAGGCAGGTGGCTCCCCGGGGGGTGAGCGGCAGCACCGGTATATAGGGCACGGTGCGGGCTGCGTGCCGCCGCGGAGGCGTGGGAGGGTGGGAAGCAGCTCGCGTGCGGGGTGGGAGGCAGCGGCACCGGCCGCTATTTCTGGCACTTGCTCCCCGGGGGGGACACGGGGAAAGTCACCGCGTCCCCCCGGGGATGCTCTACCAGGGATGCTCTCTGCCATCCTGGCTGCCGGCCTTATCCCGAGCGGTGATGGCTGTGGTTGTGGGGGGCTGTTGGGACCCCTGTTTCCCCCCACCTTTACCCGGTGGGGGCAGAGGCGATTGCCTGGCCGGTGTCCCTCCGCCACCCCGGGGGACGCTGCGGGGTTGGAGCTGCTGCCGGTGGCGGCTCCCGGGATTGTCCTTCCTCCGTCGCCCTTTGCCGTTGGGACGTGCCAAGCCCCTGCAGACCCCGCTCTGTCCCCAGGACTTGGCCAGGCTCGGGGGGGGGCTAATCCACAGCTCCCCCTGACCCAGACCAGATCCTGCACCCAACGTCCCTGCAGCCCAGCCTGCTCCGGGGGCTTCGGGGTGCCCCTGGCTGGGTTCATCCCTGCCACGGTGTCACCGGTGGCTGTCTGTCTGTCCCCCGTCTCCATCCCAGGCAGGACATGGACTCCATGTTCGAGGACGACATCAGTATCCTGACGCAGGAGGCGCTGGGGCCGGACGAGGACTGGCTCGACAGCCCCAACACCGACCTCTCGGGAGAGATGTGCTCGGCCTCCCACTTTGCCCTCATCACTGCCTACGACGACATCAAGAACCGGCTGACGGGCTTGGAGAGGGAGAACTCCACGCTCAAGCGCCGGCTCAAGATGTACGAGGTCAAGGTGAGGAGCTTAGGGGGGACCGGGATTTTGGGGGGGGGGCGTCACTGGGCCGGGGGTCCCTGCTGACGCCTCTGCCCCATGGCCACAGTACCCGCTGATCGGCGAGTTCGGGGAAGAGCACATCTTCTCCCTCTACGAGGCCAAGGAGACGTCACTGCTCAAGAGCGAGAAGGCGTCGCTGCAGCAGCAGCTCAACCAGTTCCAGCACGAGGTGAGCGGGGCCGGTGGGGCCGGGGGACGCGGGGGGTCCCTGAGCCGCCCACCCACCCCTGCCTGCCTCCCCGGCAGCTGCAGAAAAGCAAAGAGCGGGAAGAGCAGCTGGAGGAGATGATCCAGGCCTACGAGAAGCTGTGCGTGGAGAAAGCTGACCTGGAGACCGAGCTGGGCGAGATGGTGGGTGCCAGCGGGGACCGGTGCCTGGGGACGTCGGGGACCCCTTCCCCGCTCTGTGACAGCAAAGCAGATTGTTTCTCCATCCCGTGGGGCTGAAGACTCGGTGGGGATGCAAGGCTGGGGGGGCCATGGCTGCTTCACCCCTGTTATGATCACATCAGGGGTTATAGCGATGCACGTGGCTCGGCTTTATCCCCGTCTCTTCCCACTCCCACTATGCCAAGGGATGCTCCCAGCTCCGGCACAGCGCGTGTCCCTGTCCTGGCACCACATTCCCGGCGTCAACCGGGCATCCCGGGCATCCCTGGCTTCCCTCGCCCCATCTGGCACGATGCTGGGGTGCCCACCCCACCGTGCCACCCTCTTCTGGGCTGGCCACGTGCTGGGGACAGATCCCATCACCCTGCCACGACGGCTACCGGCGACGTGGGGACCCCGAGTGCCGGGTCTGCCTGTCAGGGGTTGGGGGGGTGCAGGATGAACCCCACGGAAGGGGTGCGGGGCTCAGCCCTCTCCCCCCGGCAGCGGGCGCTGGTGGAGACGCACCTGAGCCACATCCGGAGCCTGGAGCAGCAGCTACGGCAGCGCGACGCCGGCACCTTCCCCGGGCTGGGTGCTCCGTTGCCGGGCCAGGACGTGCCTTTCCTCGCCCTGCACCCCAACCCTGGCTTGACCCACGGTGAGCTTGCCCCCCTCCCCACCCCATGGGACCCCCAACTCCGGCGGGGGGGCCCGGGCACCGTGCCGGGGGCTGAGCCGTGCTTTGCCCGCAGTGCTGGAACGTGCCGGGGGCTGGCAGAGCCGGGGGCTGGAGGCGACGGGGCGGCTGGAGGCCGAATTGGAGGCGGCACGGCAGGAGACCCAGCGCGCCCAGCACCGCGAGGAGCATCTCAAGGCTGAGTGCGAGCGGCTGCAGGCGGAGCTGAAGCACCTGCAGGACACCAGGGAGCAGGTACGGGGCAGGATCCGGCCGTGTGGGACACCCCCCCCCCCCCCCCCCCCCCCCACCCGGGGGGGGGGGGG